TTCATTCCACAAAATGGCGGTTCTTCTGAAAAAAAAGCTGAGTTGAACTTTCTTTGGGAACATAGGAGAAACGATGATGATTTGACGGAAGAGGCAAGTTGATTCTATTTGCGAATGCCCAAACTGTTCGCTTGGACGAGGGAATGATGTTCATTTGAACATTTGCTATGACAGGCTCGTAACGTTGTGCTTGTGGGAAAGACTGGAAAATAAGTTGACGCCCACAAGTCCACGGAAACTATTTTGAGCCCTATCAATGCTGGAAAGTGAGGTTTAAGCAGTTCCAGTTCGTATATGGTTGCAAGGCACTATTTTTGTTTTAGCCTTATCCGACTTTTTTTTAAAGATAAAGCATAGCAGGAAAATAGGTGAAGTAAAAGAAAAAAGAAGAATTATAAAAAAGGGAAAACATGAATGAGAAGAAACCCATAAAGAAAAAAGAAAAAGAAGTGAAGAAAAGGAAAAAATGAATACGAAGAAACTGACGAGGAAAAAGAATTGAAAAATAGGAAAACAAATGAAGACAGGGAGAATAAAATGAAAAATAAACAGATGAAGAAAAAAAAAAGAACAAACAGATAAAGAAAATGAAAAAAATGAAGAAAAGGCACACAGATTAAGAAAAGGAAAAAGAAAAGGAAGAAAAAACAACAAACTGATAAAGAAAATGAAGAAAAGATACACAGATGAAGAAAAGGAAAAAAGAACAAACAGATAAATAAAATGAAAGAAAATGAAGAAAAGGCACACAGATGAAGAAAAGGAAAATGAAGAAAAGAAAGAAAAATAGAATAAACAGATGACGAAAATAAAGAAAAGGCACACAGATGAAGAAAAAGAAAACAAAGGAAAAGATGAAAAAGAAAAAAAGAAAAAAGAAACAAATGAAAAATAGGAAGGAATATAAAATAGAAAGTATAACAAGACAGAAGGATAACAAGAAGAAGCACTAAATTCAAATTTAAACACTAATATTAATTTTTTTTATTAGAGTAATTTTCAACAATTTTTGACTCGTATTTCTTTAATATTAATTTCAATTGCATTTCATTGTAGCTACACAAAGCGCCAGTCTGTGGACAATAACAAATAGCGCAAGCCAGAAACAAAGACTAAACATCAGGTAGGACACGAAATCGAATTCCTTTTTAAATTAGGAAGCTTGTCTATGAACGACAATTACTCTACCGAGTTTTATAAAAGCTGGCAAGCGATAAAATCTAATCATATTGACTTACTCTGTTTTCATTATCACTGGGCTTCATATTTGTAATTATACACCACTGGTATTAGTGGGAGTCGTCATATTAGAAAATTACCAATAAAATTGATAATACTTCATCAGATAAATTAAAAAAGAAATAAACATAATTATTAATTCTTCATCTAAGGCTAACCAGCAGAAAAAAAAGTAATATTCTCTACTTCTACTTCATATTTATGGGAGTTGCAATAAAAAGTAAGAGAAATGAAGATGAAAGGAATACTAATGAAAAATGAATAATAATTGACAATGCTTCATCTAAGGAAGCTAACCAGCAGGAGTCATTCAAATTTAGCCATATAGCTATATTCTCTACTTCTACTTCTTATGGATGGGAGTTGTAATAAAAAGCAAGAGAAATGAAGATGAAAGAAATACTAGTGAAAAATGAATAATAATTGACAATGCTTCATCTAAGAAGGCTAACCAGCAGGAGTCATTCAAATTTAGCCATATAGCTATATTCTCTACTTCTACTTCTTATGGATGGGAGTTGTAATAAAAGCAAGAGAAATGAAGATGAAAAGAAATACTAGTGAAAAATGAATAATAATTGACAATGCTTCATCTAAGAAGGCTAACCAGCAGGAGTCATTCAAATTTAACCATATATAGCTATATTCTCTACTTCTACTTCTTATGGATGGGAGTTGTAATAAAAAGCAAGAGAAATGAAGATGAAAGAAATACTAGTGAAAAATGAATAATAATTGACAATGCTTCATCTAAGAAGGCTAACCAGCAGGAGTCATTCAAATTTAGCCATATAGCTATATTCTCTACTTCTACTTCTTATGGATGGGAGTTGTAATAAAAAGCAAGAGAAATGAAGATGAAAGAAATACTAGTGAAAAAATGAATAATAATTGACAATGCTTCATCTAAGAAGGCTAACCAGCAGGAGTCATTCAAATTTAGCCATATAGCTATATTCTCTACTTCTACTTCTTATGGATGGGAGTTGTAATAAAAAGCAAGAGAAATGAAGATGAAAGAAATACTAGTGAAAAATGAATAATAATTGACAATGCTTCATCTAAGAAGGCTAACCAGCAGGAGTCATTCAAATTTAGCCATATAGCTATATTCTCTACTTCTACTTCTTATGGATGGGAGTTGTAATAAAAAAAGAGAAATGAAGATGAAAGAAATACTAGTGAAAATGAATAATAATTGACAATGTTTCATCTAAGAAGGCTAACCAGCAGGAGTCATTCAAATTTAGCCATATAGCTATATTCTCTACTTCTACTTCTTATGGATGGGAGTTGTAATAAAAAGCAAGAGAAATGAAGATGAAAGAAATACTAGTGAAAAATGAATAATAATTGACAATGTTTCATCTAAGAAGGCTAACCAGCAGGAATCATTCAAATTTAGCCATATAGCTATATTCTCTACTTCTACTTCTTATGGATGGGAGTTGCAATAAAAAGATGAAAGAAATACCTAGCGAAAATTAATAATGGAACCCGAAAATGTTGTGAATGAAAGAAAAGGAAGAAAAACGGAAAGGAAGGAATAAAAAGAGGAGGAGGCATAAGTAAAAGTAAAACAGCAGAATAAAAGTAAGTAAATGAGAAAAAAACGATAAAAAAGAAAGGAGAGGAGGTAGAAAAAGAGAAAGGAGGAAAATGAAGAAAAGAAGAAGGAGGGGAGAGAAAGAAAAGAGAGAGGAAGGAAGGAAGAGGAAAAGAGTGAAGACGTTGGAGAAAGCAAGAGAAAGAAAATGAAAGAAGTGGAAATAAAAAGAGAAAGAAGAGGACTAAAAATAATGAAAAGAGAGAAGAAGAGAAAAGGAAAAAAATGAAGGAAACGGAAAAACAAAATAGAAAGATGAGAAGTAAAAAGAAGCAAAGAAGATGACAGTAAAAAGAACGAAAACAAGATTGAAAACAAAAAAATCGTAAACAAAAAAAGAATGAAAAATACAAAACCATAACAAGAAGACAAAAAGGGCGCTTTGGCATGGGGCAATTGTCAGTGAGTCTGGGTGTCAGTAGTGAGTTCAATCCTAATTGGGGAATCAATTGTGCGGTTTTTTTCTGTCAAGATAAGTTTTATAAATATGTTATATACCGTACATATGAACACTAATGGGTATGTCTCCCAATCCTCATAAATACGTTGGACACTATTGTAAGTTGGGGTAATATGCTGTCTAAATAGTCCCCCACTAGCAGTGGTTTACCTACTTCACGTCGCTGGCGAGTATTGTATTTGGTTGATGTTATAAAGATTACCATTTCATTTTCAACCTCCGTCTTGGTTATTTGATATTCAGTAACCCTTTCTAGGTTACAACAAAAGAAAATCGAAGATATAATTGGAAATTAAAATCTACAAAAAAGGAAATTATAAAAGTCGAATCTTACCAATCCTTAGATTTAGTCCCTGAAAATTTTTGGAACATGCCTCCGAGATGGCACCGTTAACGAAGAACGTCAAGAGGCATATTAAGGTAAGACTCGTCTGGGTGAATTGTTCTTTGGTGAGCATCGCGAAAAGTCGTTGAATTCGTTGGACTCTTAAAGTAAACTGTATCGTTGTTGTGAGATCACGTTGATCAAATGATTTGCTTCGAGATTTCCGGATGTTTCCGCAAAATTTCGTGTTTTAATGCCCAATCACGTGACTTCCGCTTGCATATTTAAAAAAAAAAAATCAAGTCCGTGTTCTGAAAATCGATGTTTTCGTTAACCTGGAACAGCAAATAAAAGAGGAATTAATTAGTTCTTCTGCTTAGAAGAGTCACATATACAACTCACAAATCCACGCACATTTATATATTAATATTTGTATCAACGTACCTATCATTATATTAGGTTGGTGCAAAAATAATGTCGTTTTTTGACGTTCAACTTAACGTCAAAAAAACGACATTATTTTTGCACCAACCTAATACTATAAAGTCTGTATCATGCTGCAAAAGAAATGTAACTACAGCTTCGCCCACTTTAAAAGATTCAATGAGTCAAGGAATAATAAAGTTCAAGACAACATAGCTTTGTTTGGTTTGGTTTGTTCTATGGCATATCAACCTCAAAGAGTTATTTAATGCCAACAATTTTTTTCACATATATAAATACATATGAATAAAAAATATATTCTTTGTAACAAAATCACTTTGAAAATCAAGTTTCATTAACATTTTTGCAAAGAGGGCTTCTGTTGAGAGACAATTCCATTGCTCGTATTATTCTTTCTTTCAATATTAACTCTCTACATATCCGGTTTCTTAGTTTTATTTCTGCAAATAGGGATTTTTATCAAAAGTCTAGTTTCGTAGATATTTTTTTTTTTGTTTTGGTTAGGTTTGGTTTGTTTTACAGCATATCAACCTCAATGGGTTATTTAATGCCAACATGATTTTTATTGCTGCTAATTTTTTTCCACAAATGTATTGCTGCTAATATTTTTTTTATCAAATGTATGTATTGCTGGTAATATTTTTTATCAAAAATGTATTGCTGCTAATATATTTTTATCAAAAATATATTGCTGCTAACATATTTTTATCAAAAATGTATTGCTGCTAATATATTTTTATCAAAAATGTACTGCTGGCTAATATTTTTTATCAAAAATGTATTGCTACTAATATTTTTTAAAAGAATGTATTGCTGCTAATATTTTTTATCAAAAATGTATTGCTGCTAATATTTTGTTCAAAAAATGTATTGCTCGTAATATTTCTTTATTCAAATATTCATTGCTTGTAATATTTTTACAAAATTTAATTGCTGGTATTAAACCCTATTTTTACTCGTTTTGACCCCAGTTTGGGGGTTAACTATTTGCCCATAGCTCGGAACCTAACCCCGGGTCAAGGTGGACTTGCGAACACCAGCATTTAAGAGGTGGTTCAACGCTCCTCAAAACCTCCTGATCAGAAACCTTACTGTTAAACGTAGATTATCGTCTTACCCAGGACGACAATATAGCATGCTAACCGAAACGATCCTCTGTGACACAATTGGTAATGCACGTCAGGCATTTTTGAAACATGAGAACTCTTATGTAGCGAAGGAATCATATTTTTAAACAAAAAATTATTATTATAATAAAGCTCTACTTCTGTATGGAGCACAGTCTTCTTAAAAATAAAAACAAAAATACTAAGGAACTCCGGATAATGCACCCAACGTGTTCTTTTCTATTTTCTGCATACCTGCGCTTTTATTTATATATATATATATATATATATATATATATATATATATACACACACACACACATATATATATATATATATATATATATATAGAGAGAGAGAGAGAGAGAGAAGGAAACCAAAAGATCAGACGCAAAGTCTTCAATGTAAAATGAAATGATTAAAAAGACAACAAAATCCCCGCAAAGTCTAATATTATATGCTCCTTATTTACGCGTCCGATACCTCAAGCATTACCGCTCCTTTGGTTATTTATTTATTTTTGACAGCTTACCAACCCTTTGTGGGTTATTTAAAGCCGAAACATATTTTGGGTTTAAGATTAATTCACTTTTTTTTCTTTTGCCAGTGAATATTTTATTAACAGTTTTTGTAAGATAACAATAATTTTTCCAGAGAGTGGTACCACTATTTAACCTAGAGTTGGGGGGAGAAGATATGGATTCATACCTTTTCCAATGACATTTGCGCGAATGTGAATCTAACAAAATCGAGTGCTCTCCTTCACGAGGTGGGGGGCGCTAGTATTATTACCTGGTGTTGGAGGTGTCCCCAAAAAGGGAGTTTTGTACATTGGCTGATTCGTTTACTACGGCTTATCAACCCTTTGCAGGTTATTTAAAGCCAGAAAATATTTTTAGAGTGTAAGTTAATAACGGTTTAACAATATAGCTTTAGAGTGTAAGTTAATAACGGTTTAACAATATATTTTTAGAGTGTAAGTTAATAACGGTTTAACAAGTCTTACTAATTAGTCAATCGCCTGGGTGAGGAGACGAGGTGAATTAATACTTTTCCCAAGGGCATTTGTGCATTATAACGAACTCAACTGAAATTGGAACTCGGCTCACCGATTAACAATTTGAAGCGATTATCTATTACACCACCTGCGCATCCAAGATTACAGCACCTGGTATTTGCAAGCGGTCACCCATCTAGGTACTAATAAGGTTCTACGTTGCTTAACTTCAGTTTTCTTACGGAAACCGGTGTTTTAATGTGATGTGGTCGTAAGCTCATTATAACACCCACACCTCCACGCTTTCGGCACCTGGTATTCCCAAGTGGTCACCCATCTAGGTAATGACCAGGCTTGCCGTAGCTTAACTTCGGGAACCGATGTTTGAAGCGTGACGTGACCGTAATTATTGTTATTGCACCGCTCCCACATCCAACCTTACTGCACCTGGTATTACCAAGCGGTCACCCTTCTAGGCTCGATGTTGCTTAACTTCAGTGATCGTACGGGAACCAATGTTTCTACGTGATTTGTTCGTAAGCCTAGTATTGTAAAAGCTTAGACAAATTTTTATTTTTAGTTCATGTACGCGTGGGCGCCCACATGAAACTCGACCTTGGGTCATATTCCATTCAAACAAGCGTGTGAATGAATGAGAATCTTTAAAATCAATACTTCGGTTTTCGAATTGTACTCTGCCATTTTGAAAGGTCGGCCAGATGCCAGATAAACAAAAAATATTCCACTTCTGACCCTGAAGTGCCCCAAGACAATAATTAATCTGAACAAAAGCGTTAACAATGTAATAAGTGAAAACTGTTTTAATATATTTATTAAGAGAACGATTTCGAACTAATTCACATCTCTCTTTCTCACTATATATATATATATATATATATATATATAGATAGATAGATAGATAGATAGATAGATAGATATGCAAGCTAACCATTACACTGCCTCGCGGTGCCCAGGACGTGGTATATATATATATATATATATATATATATATATATATATATATATATATATATATATATCGCTAGAACAATTACGACTGAGTAGTGAATTCAATCCTCACTGGGTATCCAAAACATTTGGCCTTGTGTCACATCTAAGCTACGCTTGGAAAATCACTATATATACCACGTCCTTTCAGTTCGTAGACGATCATGGCTCTCCGCGGCTTCCTTTCTTCCTTAGGTTTCAGCAATACATTTTTCTTTGTCCCCATCCATTTTCCTTTGTCTCCATCCATTAATTGAATTTATCAAGTCGATGACCAGCTGCTTTCTCTGTTTCTCTTACACTTGTTGAGTTTTGTGAGTGTTAATTTCTCGAAGCCTTCCTTCCTTACTATATATTTTTAAAATGTCAACTATCTCTTTTTGATTGTTAGCAATAGCTTCTTTTCAGCTCATATTGTCCTTAAAACTTTTTCATTTTCTAATATACTCTGGCCATGATATTTTTCCATTTGTCAGTAAAAGTTGACGTTAAGCAACGTCGAGCCTGACCAATACCTAAATGGGTGACCGCTGGGGAATACCACGTATTGTAAGTTTGAACGTGCATGTGGTATAATGTGCTTACAACATCACGCTGAAACACTGTTCCCCGTATGATCACCAAAGTCAAGAAACTTCAATTCTGGTCACTACTTAGATGGGTTACCGATTGGGAATACCAGGTGTTGTAAGCGTGGATGTGCGGGTGGTTTAATAGAAAATGGCTTGGAATTGTTCATTGGAGAGCCGAGTTGCAATTCCAGTTGGGTTCGTTATATTCACTGACGCGCAAATACCGTTGGGAAAGGTATGAATCCACTTCTTCTCCCCCCAGCTATGGGTTAATTATTTTTTTTATTTCTTACGATCTAAAAATATTTTCTTGCTTTAAATAACCTGCAAAGGGTCGATATACCGTAAAAACGAATAAATCGAATCAAATTTACTTAATTTGTGGACAAATAGTCCAGCATTCATTACACTTAAAGAAATTGGATATAGCAGTCTAGCACTTTTTTGCCATTTCTAATGCTATTTTTTTTATTCTTTAATAACTTGTATGAATTTTGAAAAGCATCATTCGCTAATTTCTGTTTGAATTTCTGGAATGTGGAATTACTGTTACCAGCAATACATTTTGAAAAAAAAAAAAAAATTACAAACAATAAATTTTTTGAAAAAAATTTACCAGTAATAGATTTTCTAGAAAAAATATTACCAACAACATATTTTTGAAAAAAATATTTCCAGCAATAAAAATCTTGTCGGCATTAAATAACCCATTGAGGTTGATATAAACCAAACAAATCTTATTAATTTGTTGTTGCTATCACAACGTTTCGGCTGTTGTGACTTCCTGCCTTCATCAGGTGTATATCGATCCGAGTAACCTGTAGGGAAGTCCAAAACGAACCCTTTATTTAATCTACGCAGGTAGACGGCCCTCGTTCCGCTGCCTATGTCTAGGGATATCTCGTCTTATTTTTATTTTTAGTTCTGCTCAGTTATTACTATTTCCACTGAGTCCAAATACAAATCACTTGTGTCCTGGGTACGACGATAAACTACATCCGACAGCAAGGCCTTTGATCAGAAGGTTTGAGGAGCCTGGAACCACCTCTTAATTGCTAGCGTTCACCGGTCCACCCTGGCCCGGGGTGGTAGCTATGGGCAAATAGTTAACCCCGCAAAAGGGATCAAAACACTATGAAAGTATAAAAATAGGTTTCAATACCAGCAATACTTTATTGGAGAAATTTTTACCAGCAATACATTTTTGAAAAAAATATTACCAGCAATACATTTTTGAAAAAAAATATTACCAGCAATATATTTTTGAAAAAAAAATATTACCAGCAATAAAAATCTTGTCGGCATTAAATAACCCATTGCTGTAAAAGAAAATAAACCAAACAAATCTTGTTAATCACTAATCGTCAATCAATAAAAAATAAAACAAAAAAACAAAACGTTTGATTAAAAAGAACCGAAAAGGTCTGTATGTTTAATTTTGAAAAAAATATTTTTCCAATTTTCGGTAAGGTGTTGAATACTGTGCTCGAAGTTGTGGATAAACTATATATATGATCAGGAATCTTTAAAACCTAACGTTTGTTTTACCCATTGCCACTTTTAACATCTGATTTAACACGCTAACATTTTTGTGGCACATGCCTGATTGTATTAATTAATTTTTAGATAATCATTACTTTTTTTTTTCCTATTTTCACGTTTCGTCTCGTCCATTTTGTCGCCATCTTTTAGCTCTTCTCACAATGCAAAGCCGCGATACTTAAAAAATTAACTTAATGGATTGAATAAGCTGCTGCATTGTTGAAAATAAAAGAGAAGCAAATAAAAAGAATTGAATCAATATATTTATTTGGTAAAAAGCTTGTTTTTTTTATGAATTTAAAATAAAAGTCATTGTTATTTTTTTTGCCATTTTCAAAGCCATATAGCCTCTTCCCATAATGCAAAGCAGCTAATAAACCAGCAACAGACATGATACTTAGAAAATGAACTTAAATGTCAAAGACTGAATCGACCGTTACATTACTGAAAATAAAAATAATTTAAAGTTCGTAAAGTGAATTAATAGAGATGAAAAGTGTTTTTATTCTTTTTGACTCCCTTGGTAATACCTAGCATCAGGAAGAGAAAGTTGAGGTTTCTGGGGCATATAGTGAGGAAGGAGGACTTGGAAAATCTGATACTCACAGGAGAGTTTGAAGACAAGAGGAACAGAGTAAAACCAACGCATAAAATCCTTAGTGAGCTTGACTAAATGGATGACGGAACAGGACTTAGGAGAAATAGCAAAAAGACAGTATTTATTAAGTACTACGAGTGACAGGAAATTGTGGAGAGCCATGATCGCCTACGTCCTGAGGGGACACGGTTCATGAAGAATAAGGTCTTAATTTACTTGAATAAATTGTATCAATTAAAAATAACGTATGAACAGAAAAGATATTAAATAATTGCCGGACTTAATCCATTTCATAATATTTTGTCGCAGAATAGATCAGATATTCGAGTTTTGGTTGGAAGCCAGTCTAGAAAAAAAGCCTAATCAGAATACAGAACTGTGAAGAAGACAATCGAAAAAAACACTTTACAATAGATAAATTTATATATATATATATATATATATATATATATATATATATATATATATATATATATATATATATATATATATAAGTAAAGAACACACACACACATATATATATATATATATATATATATATATATATATATATATATATATATATATATAGCCTTGGATGGCAACTGGTCTAGGAGAAGGACAACTCTGAATTCAAAACCTGTGGAGGGTCGTTTGGGCACCTTGTGGCACTTAGTGCACCAGGTCTCTGTATTCGGACCTTCAAAAAGTGTGGATGGTCCTGCACAAACCTTCACCACCATAATCAAGCCTCCTGTGCTGTTGTTCGGTTTCCTGGGAACTGATCTGCTTGACCTCATACGTCGAATTCGACAGGAGAGTCGAGTATATATATATATATATATATATATATATATATATATATATATATATATATATATATATATGTATGTATGGGTGTATATATATAAATAAAAAGAAAGAACAGTAAGATATATAATCCGGTGTTCTTATAGATATTTTTATTTTTACAAAATAGTGCTCAATGTAAATTTACAGAGCATTAATATTATAAATTAATTGATTTAAAATATGTTTTTTTTCGCTACACATTTCTAACCATGTTTCAGAAATGGAAGCTAAATGCCCCGAATTTAATTTTGTAATTAATTTAAAGTCATTAGTTCCATTTCATCCTCAAGCAATTCGTGTAGCGAAAAAAATATATTTTAAATAAATTGATTTATAATATATATATATATATATATATATATATATATATATATATATATATATATATATATATATATTCTGACCGAAGAATTTAGATTTCTAAAAACTTTGGTCTGAAGAGAGGAATATTTAAATAAATATATTAATGAAATAAATTATAACTGAAATGAATTTTTTAGGATTGTCTTTACTTATTATTATATTGGTCTGTTTTATATATATATATATATATATATATATATATATATATATATATGAAACAAAGCAATATAACATAACAGGCATTTGTTGTTTGCTATATTTAACAATATATGTTTGATTGAATAAATTACAGACATTATATCTGCTAATTTTTAACAAAATCCGTTAATATTCACGAATAACCTTCCGTGTATTTATGTTAAATGATGAGAGAAATGTGCTATAGCTGTTTAAATTTCTTTTATTTTCCCACTTCAGATGAGAATTATTTTGAAGCTTTTGATATTCAATTTGCCAGTGTGCTACCAGGAATGTAAAAGGGGATACATTTATAAAGCAATTTTGAAGTTTGATGAAGATTGGTTGAAAGATTAACGAAAAATAATAAAGAAACCAGTAAAAATCGCCATTTTTCGTTATTTACGCGGGTTTTCGCTATATGGGTGGGCCCAATTATCAAGTTAAATGACTGTTAAACAATCAACCTATTGTTGGCTACAATTGAGTCAACTTTGTATTAGATTGCTTGAAAATTGAGGGAGTTTTTAGATTAAAATTTGTGTTGAAATCGATTTTTGGTTTTTCGCAATTTTTCGCTAAACGTTGTAACATAGAAATAAAAATGAGGTATCGTTGAGCTCGTCATGATATAAGTAACCTACATAACGAGTTTGAAAGAAATCGGAGGAAAAAAAGTTGAATTTATTGATTTTTGATCGGCTTTTTTGATTATTGATTTTTTAAAAATTATCAATTTTTACGCTAAGGACCTATCTCTTACATTATACAATGTATATGCCAAGTCGAGATCGGTTGGATGGGTCTCGGGTGAAAAGATATCACACAAACAGACAGACATCTGATACCGCCTCGTAAAATATGTAAAATTGTTCAAATTGTTCAAGCGTTTAAAAATGAGCAGATTTTTGTAAAGAAAGTCTTCAATAAAATTAGAAAAATAGAGCAACAATAGTCAACTGATGAATAAAAGCTCAAAGGACTTATCTTGCAACCGACTTTAAGTTTAGCGTATACTTCGCTCGTCTGGGCCAGATAAATTTCCTGTCTACCATAATAAATTATTAGAGAATCTCTCTCTCTCTCTCTCTCACTCTTTCTGATGTCACAATTAAATTTCTAATTCCGACACGAAGTCAGTCTATATACCGGGGTTGAATAAGACTGACGAAGTTTTCGTCAGTTGAAATAGGTGTGTTCCCTATATGAGGTAATTTTGGATTTTAGTGTGT